TGCCCAATTCTCTGTATTAAGGTGGCAGAAAAAAATATTAGACAATTCTTGAAGTTCTTTCTGCTATCGCTTAATGACTAACCAGTTCAAATACTATATGATAATAGTGTCATTCAGGAAAAAAAAAAAAAAGTCATTAAAGTGATCTTAATCATTGAGTGACAACATATATTCATCAGATACGAGCATACCTACAAAGCGGAATTACATCCTCTTCTATCTCACGAGTCCAAAGAGAATACTCCATTTGCACACAAGTGATGGGATGAACAGCATGCGCCCTCTTAATTGTGTCAACACTGGCTTCAGACAAGCCGATGTACCTAATCTTTCCCTCCTCCACTAGCTTCTTGAGTTCCCCCATCTTTTGTCTCATGAAATTGATTCAACAAAATCAAGTTTCTGTACAACATATTTATTTATCATCATAGGCAACAACATGGATAAAATTTGATACTTACAGTTTCCTCTATAGGCACAGATGTGTCTGTCCGGTGCTGATAATATAAATCAATGTAGTCCACGTCAAGCCGCTTGAGACTTTCTTCACAGCATTGCCGCACATATTGTGGAGTGCATTTGACTTGACACTGGAAGTCACTGAAGTCCTCGGGAAATATACACCCAAATTTGGTTGCCAGTTGGACTTGCTCACGAGGGAGCTGCTTCAATACCTGGTTATCCCAAAATGACCATTTAAAAAGCAAAATCATTACTTATATGATAGTCTCAGCAACACTGAGTGATTATATGGTTCTAAATCTTCAAACAGAAGACGATGAATTGATCGACACAAAAATATTGAATAGTACACTGATCAATTAAGTGTACCTTTCCCACCATTATCTCATTGTAACCCTCATGCCCGTATACGTTTGCTGTGTCAAAGAAAGTGATGCCTTTGCTGAATGCTTCCTTTAAGACTGCACACCCAGCTTCATGTGACAGAGGAGCATTAAAATAGCCAGAAAGTCCTACACAACCAAACCCGAGTTTCGAGACCTAGCAAAAGATTAACTAATGATTTAAAAGCTTCTAGCATAGGAATAAAACTTTGCCTTCTCTTTTAGCATAAATGTTTTTCAAAGGTCTCCATATCTCGGAACCATCGTGAACCTAAAGCCTTTCTTTTCAAGAGCAGAACTAAGGGTGTCAAAAAGTATTCATGATCTGATCAATTGGTTGGAGTCTCTCAATTAAGTGAAATTTTGGAGGCTGATAACGAAAATGTTAGTGAGATAAATGGACATACACAAAATAACTATAACCATAGGCGCAAAGGCGGAGCCACATGCAAAGAAGGGGATTCAATTTATCACAAAGTTATACTGCACAAATAGGCAAAAAATAAATCTTTTTGAGCATATACATAGAAATTTTGAATCCCTTAACATAAGAAAATAACGTGTTCAAATCCCAATTGAGGCATTTTCGATTTTCTTTTGAATTCCCTTCATAGAAATCCCGGCTCCGTTACTGCATAGGTGGTAGAGTACTCAAGGGACTAATCATTATTACAGAAATGAAATGAAGGAGCAACAATGAACACTGCCTCGGTAAATGCATCAAATATTAATCAAAGAGTAATAATGAAATAAAAACTCATACAAGGAAATTACTGAAAAGTGTAAAGGATAAAACTCAAAAATTGACAATACAATCAATTTTAGCAAAAATATTGGTAGTATAATCTTTTTATCCCCATAAGGGAACCTTGAGCCCGTGACGGGGCCAGATTTTTGACTAAAGGGTCTCAAAATATAAAGAAATAAAATCACGTCGAAGCTTAAAAGTGTCAATATGTAATATATATATACATACAAAAAATATTGTTAACTAGCTACACAGTGTAATTTTCTGATGAAGGGGTGTATGTGGCTCCACCACTGCCTTGAGCAACGGTAAAGTTGTCTCTATGTGATCTATAGATCACGGGTTCAAGTCATGGAAGCAGCCAGGTAGATTGTCTACATCACACCCTTGGTGCGACCCTTCCCTGGACCATACTAACTCGGGATGCTTTGTGCCTAGGGCTGCCCTTTCTAAAATCTTTTCCTCCTCTAAAACAATAGTCCTAAACATCTATTGCTATTACAGAAAGATTATGCTAAAATTTCAAGACTCCAATTCTAAATTCAAAATAGGTAGAATGAAAAATATATCCACAATTAAGTTGATTGAGCTTTTAAGTTGTATCCAACAAACCTAAAACTCATACTGCTGCAAACAAATTCAACACAAATCAATTGATTGTCACAAAGTACTACTAATATTTTTTTCTTTTCCATCAATTACCAAAATACAAGTATAAAAAAAATTCAAAATCTAAATGAAAATTGAAATCAAAGTTAAATTATTTGTAATTACCTCAAGACCCTGGGTACCCAATTTGACTCTTGGAATTTGGATTTGTGTGTTGTACTCCATTTTTTGTGCAAGACTGCTAAATTACAGTACCAAATGCTTAAAAAAGAGGTACTTAAGATAAGAAGAAGGAAAAAAAAAAGGTTGAAAAAGCTACTAATTTGTCGTACTTGGACATGAATATATGCTTTATTTTAAGAGATATAAGTGGGGACAAAAATTCCACTTAGAGTTGAGTAGTCAATTTCTTACTAGTGAAGTAGTGATTGATTCCATTTGAGTATTTGACTATTCCTCTTACCATTCACACTTGGTTAGAAAGTGAATTATTAATATACTAAAATTAGCATAATTAATATTTCTTCATTGCATGGATCATTTTATTTTGGGTTATTTAGGTGGTTAGATTTTTGAAATTTTATGTAGCATAGCTACTATTTTTCTAAATGTTTACATTTTTTTATATATAATATTATATATTTGGTATATAATAATATATACTAAATTATAAGAAATGTTTATACACCATATATAATACTATGCGATATTATATACTATTATACAAAAAACTGAATTCTTCTTCTTCTTTGAATCCAAGGACCAACTCCAGCCAAGAAATCTCAAAAATCCCACCAAATCACCCTAAATTCCTTTTCAATAAGTTTTTACAATTGATTTTTACTATTGTTTTAAGCAATATGATTTTAGCATCTTTTGCAACAAAATGAAAAATGATTTCTTTCCACAAATTAAACGCTCACAAATCTTTCGGGATAGAAGAGGACAAACTATAATCACTTTTTTTTTTTTGTATAAAAAACTTTCAAAACAAAATTTTGAGAAACATCAAACCTATTGGTTGGAGGTGGATTCGTCAAACTATGCATGATGTTATTTTTATGAATAAAAAATGCATATAATTTCTAAGTTTAAAGAAAATAGATCATTAAATTTTGAAATGAAATGGATTTATATGTACAATATAGATAGGTACATTTCATTAAGTCTTGTTATTTATTGTTGTATTATTTAGAAAATAGTCATTTGGGTCATATCACAACCCTAGATAATAATATCATTAGTTATAGTTTTTACAGGAAAAATAGTTCCTAGATTGTCTGCTTTCAAACTAGCAAAATAGTAGGTATATCAAAAATTCCTTTCTTCGCTACTCGATTTGTCAGCCTATGTGCATCATTCTTAGAGCACCCAACTTATGCATTAATGATTTGCACTCAATAATAAGATTATTATAGAGTAAATGGTCATGCTCAAACATATGGATAAAGTGTTGATTTCCGAAGGAGTTAGATTGTGGTCAACTCCTAAATGCAATTCTCTTTTTAGGGCTTGCAGCTCATCCATGGTAGAGTTAGTGTATGGGGTGCATTCGACGAATCTCATCCTCCAATGACCAGTGTGATCTCTGAAAAGTGTGTGAAGTGCATTAAGATACCTATCACTTGAGAGAGCACAACGAAAATGAGTGATAAAAAGAAAAAAATTATTGTCAAATCTTATTCAGTAATCAATTATTAAAAAAAAAGAGCAACTTTCACATATAGCAAGCACAAAATTCATATTTGTATGCTATAGCAAAGTTTGCATAATTGCGCTCCATAGCAAACATAAATATGTATATTTCGCTATACATATACAAAAGAAAGCAGTTGTATAATCTGCTTTGGTATACATATACAAAAAGATCAATTGTATAAAGTGAGAGAGGCGAGTGAGCGAGCGGGATCTGGGAGAGTGGCGAGCGAGATCTGGGAGAGGGGAGAGAGGGGAACGAAAATATATGTATATATACAATTTTCACACATTTATACATTTGCGTTTTTGTATAAAGTGAGAGAGGCGAGTGAGAGAGCGAGATCTGGGAGAGGGGAGATTGGGGAATGAAAATATATGTATATATACAATTTTCTCTCGCTTTATACAAACACAAACGCACTTTATACACTTGCGTTTGTATAAAAAAACGAAGAGAGGCAAGGGAGAGAACGAGAGTGGCGAGCGAGATTCACTAGGAGAGAGGTGAAATAGTAACAGTTTGCTATGGGGTACAATTAAATCAAACTATATTTATAGCATTTTAATTTGAATTAATAGTTTGCTATTATATACAATTTTCCCAAAAAAAAATACTTAGCGATGAAATATTTAGTTACAATCTAGCAACAGATGTATAAGCAATTCTATTTTTTTTTCCCCTCTGGTAATAGAATCTCTGCAATAAGTTATAACTAAAAAAAAATATAATGCAATGGATATTATTTTTTCCATTTGAAAAGAAAAGTTAGCATTATGTTAGTAGTCTAATCAATAAAAATAAAATCATAAATAATAAACTATCTTTAGTCAAATGTACAAAAATATCATATTAACCACTAAAATCTTAAAACAAACAAGTGATGTGAAATTGTGAATAGTTCAATAAACTAAAAACCATTTTAATTTGCTCTAACATATTACCTCTAAAAGTGTCATTATGATTTACCTAGGCTGATGGCACTTCGTAACGATTTCTTTGAAATATTTTCAGTCTTCTAAGATTTTGATGAACTCATGTATATTTTCGACGTTTTTTCATCATTGATCTTAATAGAAATAAAATCACTGTCAGACACTAATTCAAGAGAAAAGACATATTATCTGGAATTTTTTCACACCCTAAACTATGCTTCAAAAACTCAACAAACACTATGCTTCATCACAAGTAGCTTTGAAGGATAACAAACGTTTTTGGAGACTTTCAAGATATGGATCCACACCTTCTAGTTTTTTTCCACCAATATTATTCTCTCTTGTCTTTAGCACAATGGTTGTTGCTGTTAAAAATTCTTCATATGCCTTGCATTGTCCAATGAGTCCACAATGGCATCCATTATCTCTCTGCAAAAGTATGAAAGGATTGTGGAATATTAAGCGGACATATTACAAAAAGGTAGCTAAGTGCATAAAGCATCTCGTGTTCACGTAGAATTTGAGGAAGGACCGCACTTTAAGGAGTGTGATGTTGACAGTCTATCCTAAACAAACATATCAATTAAATATACAAATAACAATATAATGGCATGCCTCTACGAACTTCGTCACTAGATAGATTGTGACTAACATATTGTTTTAAATAATCCATTGCTAATCCATGCTTACGACAAATATTCATTGTTTAACGATGAAAATTATGTGTCGCCAATTCATGTTCTTTTGGTAGCATACCTAGCTAAAAACAAAACAATTACCATATGCATCATCTTTAAAGAGGAATGAGCTGCATTTCTTTTTAATAATCGAGAAATCCTCGAGGGTTAAATAACACACAGTTAAGAAATTAATGAGTAGTGACTAATGAGCCATCTTTCCATGGGTATGATATTGTTTTTATAACAATATCTTTTGTTTTAATAAACTTTGCTATTATATTTTATATTAAATATAAAAAGTGAAAACTTAAGAATTAGAGTGTCAAACGACAATAATTAGATTTGTGTTGGGGAATTCAGTTCAAAATTTTCAAGAATTGGGAATTTTGATAGCTTTATCTAAGACAATAGTTAGATTGACTTATACACACCAAGGATGTGGTATGTGGTATATTACCAGAGATCTCGGGTTCGGGCTACCGAACACGGGAAGGTAAAACAAAAGAAGACAATATATACATCAACAAGGGATAACAATACATGCGCTATTGATGAGCTCTACTTATTCAAAAAAACAGAACATGCGATTTAGTTAATAATGAAGCTAAGAAACGGTGATTAACTCCATTATGATTTCTCACCAACGTGATGTTACTGCTTTAATGGTGTATTAGCTACCCGATAATCGTACTTAAACATCGTTTCATGCTCTCTATCTCCACAGACTTCACTAATGGGGATAGCATCCACGATTTCCCTCACATCTTCTGGTGTAAGTTTCACTGCTAGGGATTGAATATTGGCATCTAGGTTCTTAATCTTTGTTGTTCCTGCAACACATTGGACGTATGATTAGAAATACCTCGTCTTTTTTAGAACAGATCCAAAGTTTAATGACATATTTCAGTTAACAAACGAACACCACGATGACCAAGAATCTAACAAGTAGTATAACAACATGATCTCGAGGAGAGGAATTCAATTAACAAGAAATTGTAATATGATTTGCATAATGGAAAAGGTATGGTATATATCATACCAGGTATCGGAATCATGTCATCTCCCTGATGCATAAGCCACGCTAAAGCTAGTTGAGGAGGTGTACAACCATGCTTTGCTGCTAAGTTTGCAAATCTTGTGTAAAGAGCTTTGTTCTTCTCCAAGTTCTCTCCGGAAAATCTTGGATGAGAACCCTAACAAAACAGAGAGATTGAGATACCTAGACATAATCTTCCCAAAGAATGACATGATAGATGAATATTTAACACACAAAACTACAATAGATGGTAGAATGAAGGAGTTCTACGGAAGTACTAGGCGATATGAACATGCCTAACATAGCGAAAAACAAGTTATCTAAAATAGTTATGAGACTAACATTGTTATATGATAGTAAATGCTTAGGCTTTTAAGGTCCAACATGGTAACATATGTGTTGAAATGCAGATGTTAAGATAAAAATGTTATGTGAGGTCGTACAAAATTAACTAAATTAGAAATAATCACGTCTAACTGAGGAAAGTCTCTCAAGATATCGCCATATGTATGGTATAAAGATGACCCATAGTTTGTGTTTGAGGAGTGATTGCTACTTCATAACCCAGAACTGTACAGAAAACTAAGTCATTTTGGACTAAGCTTGCTAGAATGAAGAAAATGCGACACAGGAGCGGTAGGCATGCAACCTCTTAGCGTCATCTCTTATACACAGTATTATAATTATACCAAACAAGAGAAAGAGAATGATAATTACTTCATCCATAGGAAATAAATCTGAGAGGAACAGTGCGATACATCACATATTCTAGGAACTACTGCAGTTACCTACCACCAGACTTTCCGCAGGCAAACTTTCTGTGATTGCCTTACCACCAAAGAACCCCTGGCCAAGAGGGCTGTACGCAACAATCCCGATGCCCAATTCTCTGTATTAAGGAGGCAGAAAAAGTATTAGACAATTCTTGAAGTTCTTTCTGCTATCGCTTAATGACTAACCAGTTCAAATACTATATGATAATAGTGTCATTCAGGAAAAAAAAATTATGGTTTCATATGCAACTATGTTGGTCATTAAAGTGATCTTAATCTTTGAGTGACAACATATATTCATCAGATACGAGCATACCTACAAAGCGGAATTACATCCTCTTCTATCTCACGAGTCCAAAGAGAATACTCCATTTGCACACAAGTGATGGGATGAACAGCATGCGCCCTCTTAATTGTGTCAACACTGGCTTCAGACAAGCCAATGTACCTTATCTTTCCCTCCTCCACTAGCTTCTTGAGTTCCCCCATCTTTTGTCTCATGAAATTGATTCAACAAAATCAAGTTTCTGTACAACATATTTATTTATCATCATAGGCAACAACATGGATAAAATTTGATACTTACAGTTTCCTCTATAGGCACAGATGTGTCTGTCCGGTGCTGATAATATAAATCAATGTAGTCCACGTCAAGCCGCTTGAGACTTTCTTCACAGCATTGCCGCACATATTGTGGAGTGCATTTGACTTGACACTGGAAGTCACTGAAGTCCTCGGGAAATATACACCCAAATTTGGTTGCCAGTTGGACTTGCTCACGAGGGAGCTGCTTCAATACCTGGCTATCCCAAAATGACCATTTTAAAAAACAAACTCATTACTTATATGATAGTCTCAGCAACACTGAGTGATTATATGGTTCTAAATCTTCAAACAGAAGACGATGAATTGATCGACACAAAAATATTGAATAGTACACTGATCAATTAAGTGTACCTTTCCCACCATTATCTCATTGTAACCCTCATGCCCGTATACGTTTGCTGTGTCAAAGAAAGTGATGCCTTTGCTGAATGCTTCCTTTAAGACTGCACACCCAGCTTCATGTGACAGAGGAGCATTAAAATAGCCAGAAAGTCCTACACAACCAAACCCGAGTTTCGAGACCTAGCAAAAGATTAACTAATGATTTAAAAGCTTCTAGCATAGGAATAAAACTTTGCCTTCTCTTTTAGCATAGATGTTTTTCAAAGGTCCCATATCTCGGAACCATTGCGAACCTAAAGCCCTTCTTTTCAAGAGCAGAACTAAGGATCTGATCAATTGATTGGAGTCTCTCAATTAAGTGAAATTTTGGAGGCTGATAACGAAAAATGTTAGTGAGATAAATGGACATACACAAAATAACTATAACCATAGGCGCAAAGGCGGAGCCACATGCAAAGAAGGGGATGCAATTTATCAGAAAGTTATACTGCATAAATAGGCTAAAAATAAATCTTTTTGAGCATATACATAAAATTTTGAATCCCTTAACATAAGAGAAATACATGTTCAAATCCCAGGTAAGTCATTTTTCAATTTTTTTTTTAATCCCTTTCACAGAATTCCTGGCTCCACTACTGCATAGGCAGTAGAATACTCAAGGGACTAAGAAATGAAATGAAGGAGCGACACTGAACACTGCCTCAGTAAAAACATCAAATCTTAAACAAAGGGAAATCTATATATTATATTAATATAAAGCAGGATATAGATTTAGATGAGTTGGAGAGGAGATTGTGGAGGGACAAGATGAAGCTCAAAGAAAAAATGAATCAAGACAAGGAAGATGTTGATTCTGCAAAGAGGTGGCTGTTCAACACACAGGGGAAGAAGTCAAGGAGAGATAAGATATGGAGGGCACACGATGGGTTTAGATCGGACCGAATCGATCGATTAAGAAAATAAAATTAATATTTTCAATTTTTTAGTGTTAGTACCCTTTAATTTTGTGAATTTAAAAATGCTAATTGCTAAGTGGAAAATACTGACTCGGGATGCTTTGTGCCTAGGGCTGCCCTCTTAAAATATTTTCCTCCTCTAAAACAATAGTCCTAAACATCTATTGCTATTACGCAAAGATCATGCTAAAATTTCAAGAGTCCAAATTTTAAATTCAAAATAGTTCAAATGAAAAATATATGTACAATTAAGTTAATTGAGCTTTAATTTGTATCCAACAAAGCTAAAACTGATAAATTCAACACAAATCAATTGATTGTCACAAAGTACTAGTACTTTTTTCTTTTCCCCTCTCACTTCAGTGATCAATAATTTCAGATAAATTACCAAACTACAGTATAAAAGAATTCACAACCTAAATGGAAATTGAAATCAAAGTTAAAATATTCGTAATTTACCTCAAGACCCTGGGTACCCAATTTGACTCTTGGAATTTGGATTTGTGTGTTGTGCTCCATTTTTTTTTGTGCAGACTGCTAAATTACAGTAGCAAATGCTTAAAAAAGAGGTACTTAAGAAAAGAAAAGAAGGAAAAAAAAAGGGAGAAAAAGCTACTAATTTGTCATTACTTGGACATGAATATATGCTTTATTTTAAGAGATATAAGTGGGGACAAAAATTCCACTTAGAGTTGAGGAGTCATTTTCTTACTAGTGAAGTGGTGATTGATTCCATTTTGACTATTCCTCTTACCATTCACACTTGATTATTATTATTTGGTCGCAGGTTAGAAAGTGAATTATTAATATATTAAAATTAGTATAATTAATATTTTCATTGTGTGGATCATTTTATTTTGGGTTATTTAGGTAGTTAGATTTTTGAAATTCTATTTCGCATAACTACTATTTTTCTAAATGTTTAAAATTTCCATATATAATATTATATATTCGATATATAATAATATATCTATATTTGATATACACCAATATAAATAACTTTCACAAACTTTTTTAACCATGGTTAAAATTTAATAAGTAATATAATATTAAATTATAAGAAATGCTTATACACCATTAGGGGTGTTCACCCAATTTTGGACCTCCACAATATAAATTAATCATCGAACTTCCTAAATTCTAAATGATTTGAAATAATTGGTTTTATAAAATTCAAAATAATTTTCAAATAATTTTAAGTAGTTTTGTCATTTTTATAAATTTCAAAATAATAAATATGATAGTTTCTATAATTATGTGTCTAATTAGTATATTTTGTGAATGGTCGAAAATTGTGTCAAAAGGATTTTAGTTTTATTTAAATATTTGGTTATTTAGTTTAAATTAATTAATAGCTTATATTTTAAGTTAATTAGTTTATAATTAAGTTAATTATTATATAATTATGTATAATTAGTATATATTATGAATATTGGAAAATCATCTCAAAGATTTTATTTCTTACTTAAATATTTTTATTAAATTAGTTTAGTTTAAATTATGGTTTTAACTTTGAGTAATTTAGTTTAGTTAAATTTATTATCTTATTCAATTGAAATTAGGAAGTTCGTTAATTGATTATATTAGTTCATCTCATTTAAATTTTAGCCAAATTCTTTACATAACGTTCTTAATACACTTGGCTATTGTATTTATAAATATACCCATTTCTATAATCCTAATTTCAACTCTTAAAATGTCAAATTTTGGGGCCTATTTACAAATTGTAGCAGCCATTATTTTTTCTCCCTTTTTATTCAATTCAAACAATAGCCCACCCTTTTAATTCCCCAAACTCACAATACATATAACAACAAAACAACGTACACCAGCCGGCCCCACCCCCTCTTTTTCCCTTATAATTTCAACAATAGCAGCAGCAGTCCAAAATGTCAACAACAGCTGTACGCAGCAGCCCTGCTGCCTCGGATTTTCTGGGATTTTGGAGAAAATCTCGTGCAAACCCAGCTGCTCCCTATTCCAGATTTTGAATTTTGAAATCAGAGGAAATTTCGTTTTTGACCTTTGTTCCTATCCGTTTTTCACTCTAATTCCCCCTATAAATACATCTCTTCTCTTCCATTGTAAGGGGGTTGAAAAAATTTTAATTAAGACAAATTAGCTAAAATACCGACTAAATACACCTTAAGGAAAAACAGAGGAAATAATCACATTTTTTTTAGTGTTTGAAGTTTGATATGCTTGTCTAGATTTCTTGGCCACTATTTGTGCTTGAGCTTTCCGTGGTGAAGTCGTCTGCTAGCTCACCCTGTCCCCATTTCGCTGCCCGGAAAGAGGTAAAATGCTCACACTTCTTTGGTTTAATAATTGATATTCAAATAGTTCACTATTGGCAAGTCTGAATCGGTACAGAGCTTGATTTTCTTGTCCTATACTCATATTTTGGTCTTATTAAAATTAAATTATTTTTTTTTATTTTAAAATTATTTGAAGTAGGAGTTTATTTGATCTTGACTATTGCGTGCATAGCATGTTATTTTTGTGTAAGGTTAATTTTAATAGTTTAGCAACCGTCGAAGGTCTGATGTTTCGTATGTCTAGATTTTTATTTAGCATGTTGTCTTGCTAGTCAATTATCACAGTCTCATTTATTTCATTTAGCTTACAATAATTTCTAACAGGGAGTATGTTGTCCCCCCCCATGATTAGTTAGATGAGTTTCTTCTTTTTTTAGTCAAATATTGTGGCTTCTTTTTCTTTAAACAATAATGCATAAAGTATGGTTTGGCAGGGATTCTTGACTTTTCTTTAAATAAAATAGTGCATAAAGCATAGTTTATGGATGTCTTATTTGTTTACTGTATGATATTTTTCTAACTCCTTATACTCTTTTGTTTACATGTAAAATTCGCCCGAGTTCGCTAAGAACTCACTCCTTCCTTTGCATTTTGAGAGAGCCATAAAGGCTCTAATTTCTTCATCGAGTTAGCCAACCATAAAAATCGATGAACAGGTCGCGAAGTTAAAGGAAGCATCGGATCAAGAAATTGAAAGATTGGGCCTTTGGCCCAC